GTAATAAACGTCGAAATCAGCTATAATTTCAAATGATCGGTAAATGATCGGCAAGTGGTCGGATATTTTTTGGAGGGGAGTGTACATCCTTTCAAGTATTATTTATGCATTAATTACAATACTCTGTAAAAAATTTTTTTCGTGATTTAATTCTATATTTATTCCATTTATATTAATAAATAAAAAATTCCTTTTTTTTTCATAAAAGTCTCATATTGATAGAATTAATAAAAGAACTTTATGGAAATTATTTAGCAAATAAAGTTTATATATTTAATTAATAAAATTGATAAATTCTATATAGAATACTGAAAAATCATTGAATGAATTTATTAAATAAAAATTGATAAATTTCATATAAATTACTGAAAAAAATTATTATATAAAATGAATAAATTCTGTATAAAACATTGAAAAATTATTGAATAAATTTCATATAAATACTGATATTATTGTTAAATAAAAATGGATAAATTTCATATAGAATCCTGAAAAATTATTGAATAATTTTATTATATAAAAATGATAAATATTTAATTATAATTACGAAAATTTCTATAATTTTATTATCCAAGTTTCTTGCTAGATCTTGTTACTTATAGAACTTTTATTAGTTTCTGTAAAGGATCTTTTGATTTTCTTTTTCCTTTTCCTTTTATCGTTATCTACAAAATTATAAATTAGAAATATAAAAATACATAAGTAAAATAATTATATTTATTTAAGAATATCATTTACTTCTTACTTTAGGAAGTACTAGCAAATATTTCTGCATTCGAAATAAGTAAAGGTGAAATCACTATATCTGGAATGGATGAGAACAAATCTACTGCATCTGGAGTGGATTGTAATACTGGTACAACTAAAGTAAATAAGAGTAAATTTACTGCATCTGAAATGAGTAAAGATGGTACTATTAAAGCTAGAATAGAAAAAAGTAAATCCACTGCATTTGAGGCCGATAAAGGTGAAATTATTGCTTTTTAAAATAAAAATAGTATTAATATTATTAATTATTAATAAAGATTATATGTAGTATAAAAAATAATACTTGAAGTGTTTTTAGTATCTTGTAAGACTTCAATAGAATTATTTATATTTTGCTTTTTAGAAGGTTTAATATTTTTCTTTTTTGGTAGTAGTAATGAAAGACCATATTTTTTTGCTTCAAAAATTTCCTTTTTTTTGCTTGGTCAATTATACAATTTTTAAAGTTAAAATAGTTTTCTTTTTAAAAAAAGAATAAAATACTATAAAATTTGATAAAACATACCTGTACTATTGCAATATAAGGCAAGCCATTTATGTAAATAAATCTGTTTTAGAGATTGGAAATGTTGTATTTGCTTTTTTAAACTATATATTATAATGATAAAAATTAATTTTATTTATTTTTGCTAATATAAATTTTAAATACTTGCATCCTTAATAATTTCTTCAATTTTTCCTTTTTGTTAACAAGATATTGATTCACCATAAGAAAATCTAGAAGCTACACGATTTCAAAGATCACTTTGCAATAATAATAAAAATTAATTTTTAATAAATTAAAAAACCAGTTTTATAAATATACTTTCTCTAAAGTTTAAGTATTATTTTTTATCAAATTTTAAGAATTCATACTATTGAAATTCTTTTTTAGTTTGCTTGTATTCTTTATATTCCTGAATTTTAATTGGATTTATTGTAGATCCTTTTGAAAACTAATATATTAGATAATAAATATTTATTTAATTTCAAGTTGATATTAAGTAATTTTAAAAATAGGAGATTTTCTATTAAAATCAAATTACAAAATATAATAAATAATATAATCTGTAATGTAATTTAATAGCTTATCTCTAAAGTTTTAATAATTAAATAAAATATACCTGTTTATTGATAATACCATTTACAGCACTTCATGTATCTGAAACTAAAAATGAGAGACACTTTTCAGAATTTATTACATTGAGAAGAGATAGGTCTGCATTAAATAAATCAAAAAAAAGTTGTTGTCATTGTTCACGAATAAGTTTATTAATATTAATTAAAGCACTTTATGATATTTTAATTTTAAATTTTTTTAAAAAGAACAAAGAAGAGTTGAGAGTTTACAAAAAAGTTTTAGTCATTGTATTTATATAAAATAATTAAAATTTATATTATAATAAAGTATAAGAAATTTAATAACATTTAATAGTATCTGCGAAAGTATAATATTTATAATAAAATATATATTTAATAATATTTGAATAAGCTTACAACAAGATAAATTTATATAATTTATTTAAATATGAATAAACAAGTTTTATACACCTGTGTTTAGTATCTTCAAGAGTCAAATGAACAAGGCAAATTAGTTAGCAAATCAACTTGTTCAAGATATATAGTGGGCAACAAAAGAAATGCAAGTGTGATTGGTTGACTTTGAATGGCTATAACTCATCAACTACAAATGCTAGAAACATAATCTAATACTTGTTTTAAAGCCCAAATCTTGAAGGATATCCTGGCGAATTTTTTTTTTTTTTTTTGAAGTGCAGCAGTTTTGCATGATCTTTATTGAATTTATATAATACTGAGTACATATAATAAAATAGAAAATACAAAAATATCTATAAATTAATTTAAACTAAACTATTTTATCAATACCAACCTTGCATTTTACTGAACTAAACTATAAATAAAATAGAAAAGAAAAGAAAAACTTAACAAGATCAAACTATTGTACAACTATCAAATATCTGAAAAGAAGGGTGTGGTTACTGCCATTCCAAAAATTTGACCAATAGGAGCCATAGGCGATAGCTGCTATAAAAGAGGTGAGGTTTGAAGTTGAGGAGAGAGAAGAAGAGTGTGGAAAATCTGAGAAGATCTAGGGGATAGTGTAGTCTTCTTTAATATTATTTGCAATTTTCTATTCATTAAGAGTAGTGTTTCTATTTTTCCATATCTCATAACAGGATGTAGAGATATCATAATAGAGAGAAGATAAGAGACCATATGATAAATCTTTCATAAATATACAAGCAGTAATTTTATCAGATAGAGATGAGGATATTATTCCTTTAAGTAAGTCAAAGATCAAAAAATTGGCTGTGTTAGGTGCTGGAGTTCAAATATTATCTGATGATATTTCTTGTAATAGTGAATTATCTAGTAGAGTATTCAATTCCTTGAGGTGGATAATGAATGTTGTTTTATGTACAGCAACAATATCCTAAAGGATTGGATCATTTTTTGGACACAGCCAAAAGTGTTCAAAGTAAAGGTAAGTTCAGTTATATCCAAAAGTTGAGTGGATAATAGGGCAGGCAAGGACTTTGTGAGTTAAAACTTGTTTTTGAAAAAGACTCAAAAAGAGGTCATCATAATGTTGCAAAAATTCACAGGTAGAACGGTCAGTTTAGTTTTGTAAATGATTCAAGAGATGCTTTTAGAATTAAAAACAGCAACAATTTGTTTAGCTGTAAGCTATTTCTTATCTAGCATATTTTTAACTTTTTTGAATTCTGTTGAAACTTGGTTTTTGATATATGAGACGTTATAAAATAGTGATATCTAGATACTAAGATAACGAGTGAAGCCTTTGTGCGAGAGTAGTGAGAGCTAAATGTTCTTATCATTAAACATTAAGTTAACAATACTGGTATCCTTAATATTCATTAACAAAACTGATTTATCCCAATTTACTTGAATACTGTTTAGAGTGAAGAATGAGTCCGCAATAGCTATTATATTTTGGAGATCTGTTCTGGAATCTGCCATCTAGAGGGTATTATCCATGTAAGCGAATACAGAAACATAATTTGTGAAATGTGTTGTGGATTTTTTGATAAGATATTTCTTCCAATTGATGCTTTGAGTATATCCTAAAAAGGAATTCTGAATTTTGCATAATAGTGGGTTGTAATATATGTATCATAATATTGGGAAGATAATTTTACCTTGATTAATATCCAAAAGGATATAGTAGGCATCAGTATTATTATGTGCAGTAAATATTTGATTAAACTGAGGGATGAAAATTGAAATTATGAGGTGAACAAAAGTCATAGAAAGGTGTATTCTAGTTAGCGCTCTAATTAGCATTCCAAGAATGACTCTGTCATATGCTTTTGATATGTCTTCCAAAGGTTATTGTAGTGAAATGACGCATCATATTTAATGTTGTTAAGGAATTAATCAATTCGAATATGCTTCTGAAAGGAAGATCAACAAAGTTGTTACCTTTGAGAATATTATGTTTAGCTAAGATAGTGAGAAGTTGATTATTAATAAGTTTAATGAGAGCTTTTTGAGAACATTCTAGCAAAGTGATCAGTCTAATATAATTGAGATTGAATTCTCATAGTTTAGGTTTTGGAATTGAATATACGAAAGTCAAGTTTCATCTATGAGGAGTTAAGTTATGTAAAAGACAACTAGAGACAATCTTTCAGAAATATTTAAATGCAAAAGGACCAAGATGTTTTAACATTTCATTCGATAATTTAGAAAGGTCAGGAGCTTTGCCATTAGATAGTAATCTAATAATATCTGACCATTCATCTTCAGTAGGAGGTTGCATGAGTAAATAATAGATGCTAGGATCGATGTTATTTAATGGTGCATATTTCTCTTTCCATAGATCTGAGATCAGTGGATTAGAGTATCTGGATCCTACAACTTGTTGAAAATGCTGAGCTGTTTCTCTTTTTACATCTGTAAGATCTATAAGTAACTCTTTAGATGAACTGTTATTGTTAATATAACAATTTAAGAAATAATTATATGAGGGTGATCAAGAAGAGAGTCAAACATAGCTGATTGATTGGTAGTAAAATTTTCACATCTGCGATCTATTGCTTCTTGTATAGATTTTGATTTAAATTCTAATTCTTGTATTTTTGCAGCAGCTATTAAGATTTTTTTAGGTCTTTAATAAGGGTAGCATTGTTGATATAAATTCAATGTATAGGTATTTGATGTGGATAAGGGTAATCATACTCCATTGAAAATAATGAAGCTTTATCAGATAGAATTTCCTATTTGTTGTTGAAATAATCATTAAATAGACATGATTTGGAAGCTCATTTCAGTTTGTGCAGAAGTTTGATATGTTTGTAAATTAATTTGAGCAGTTTTAGTCAAAGGTTATAGATATGATAGGAGGTGTGTTTGTTCAGTATACATTTTAGTGCTGTATCTATAATGGCTTTTTGGAGGAGATCCTATACAAAATTGAATTTATAAATATTAGAGATATTGTCTAAATCTGTGATAGCTAGTCTTGACTTTTTGTAATGATCGTCTACTGCGTCAACAAATGTAGACCAATCATCATCTGTCATATCATGGTATAAAAAAACAAGTTTTTTCATTATCGAGCTATTGTTAAAACTCAGGTTGATAGAAGCTAACATTATAGAAGCAGAAATGATACAATAATCAGATAGCAACGTATCTACTGGAATAACTTGATGGTTGATAAAGTTTGGGATTAAGGAAGGAGCTATAAAAATGTGATCTATCCTTGATCACAAGAAGCTACTAATATATGTATGTAAATTATTGACAGATTTGGTCGATTTGACAAAGTCGTAAGTGTTAATAAAATTGTTGTTTGTAATATAGTTTATAAAGCGTGCTGAATGTGAGGGATTGTGAGCTCTCAATAGATCAATATTAAAGTCTTCTAAAATAATGATATAAAATTAGCTTTAGTAGTTTTATCTATAAGAATACGCATTTAGCGAATTGTTTTTAAATGAAGGATTTTGTCAGAATATGATAAGTAAACGTTAATAATATGAAATTTATTTTTGTTTTTAAATTAGAAATCAAAGCAAAAAATTCGATTAAAAAAGGAAGAGTGATGAAAGATATGATCAGTGAAGTATTTTTTAATGAGAAAATCAACACCAAAACCTGAGCGTTGAGTGTCTGAGTCTGTGAAAAAAAAGGGTATAAATTTGTTGTTACAAATGGATTTGAGAGGGAAAT